TATATATATATATATATATATATATATATATATATATATATATATATATATATATATATATATATATATATATATATATATATATATATATATATATATATATATATATATATATATATATATATATATATATATATATATATATATATATATATATATATATATATATATATATATATATACATCATATATCTCAACAAAGAACAAAAATCTTGATGCTTTAAAAATAATACCAAAAAGTCTTTTTATAAAATCAACCCATTTAATACAAAGTTTTATATGACCATAAACTAAAACTTCACTTTGCTACTTACAAGTATGCATTACAAGCCTTCACTCTGCTATGCACAAACTGAAGAATCTTATGCGTGGGCGTGCTGCGATCACAACGATAGCCTTTGCTCTAAATTTACAGAAACATTGAGGCTAATACACAGGAAGACAGGAGACAGTCTGGTGCTTATTAAAAATCATATTTAACTTAGGCTGACGTTAGATGTCTTATTAGCTTGTGCAGCTTTAAAGGACAGTGTGGGCTGATTACAAATAAGCCAGTATTTTGCAGTCCGGTCTTTAAATGCACAGACTACTCTGCAAATGTCAGAGGTGTCTGATCGCTGAGACGGCAACAGCACAGTCCTGACACAAAGCTTCCAGGGATTGCATTTAAGGAAAACTGAAGCGCTTAAAAAATAATTAAAAGCTTACAATTAGGTTATTACTGTACATATATTGCAATTAAATAATGACTATGACTAAACATTTCACCAATTTCATGCTTTACTCTCCTATATGTCATACTGTTTTCTAATAAAAATGCTTCAAAATGTATAAAAATTGAGGCGTGAATTTATGCAAGAACATTCATGTATTAATGTTGTTGTTTTTAACTGCTAATATGTAAACCGCCTGTAACAAACTGAAAATTATTATTAAAGATGTGTGGATATTTTTAATTTTGTAATATTTATTGCGAGATGAATATAATTTAACTAGACATGTGGAATAACTATTTATAATTTTGGATCGACTGGGATATTCTGCAAGGGAGTCGTCTGCATAAAATATAATTTAAAAAATGAGCCTAAATAAATAAATAAGTAAAGAAAATACTACTTGCTTTTTGGTAAAACATAATTGCTTATCTTTTTAAAATTTATTTATGTACTATTCAAAAATTAAATAAATTAATCTTTCAATGCTTACTCTCTAAATAACATGAGGCTGAATAAATTATACATTTATATTAAAAGCTTGTTTGGGGAAAAACATAATTGCTTACCAATTAAAAAAGATTTAGGTACTATTAAGACAATAAATTATAATGTACATTCGAGCAACATTTCAATGCAGACCCTCTGTATAACACGAGAAGCTGAATAAATAATGAAATTAAATTAAGAAAAGCTTGTTTTGGGTAAAACATAATTGCTTTCCAATTATAAAATTTGTTATGTACCACTTAGACAAGAAATAATAATGTACATTCAGGCAACATTTCAATGCCGACCCTCTGAATAACAAGAGAGCCTGAATAAATAATTAAATTAAATGAAGAAAAGCTTGTTTTGGGGAAAACATAATTGCTTACCTATTGAAAAACAGTGCAGGTACTACTTAGAAGATAAATAATAATGTACATTCAAGCAACAATTTAATCCCGACCCTCTAAATAACATGAGAAGCTGAATAAATAATGAAATTAAATTAAGAAAAGCTTGTTTGGGGAAAAACATAATTGCTTACCTATTGAAAAATGATTTATGTACTATTAAGACAATAAATAATACGGTACATTCAAGCAACATTTCAATGCTGACCCTCTGAATAACATCAGCCTGAATAAATAATACATTTAAAATTAAAATAAAGCTTGTTTTGGGTAAAACATAATTGCTTAACAATTGAAAAATTTGTTATGTACCATTTAGACAAGAAATAATAATGTACACTCAGGCAACATTTCAATACCCACCCTCTGAATAACAAGAGAAGCTGAAAAAATAATTAAATTAAATGAAGAAAAGCTTGTTTTGGGGAAAACATAATTGCTTACCTATTGGAAAAACAATGCAGGTACTACTTAGAAGATAAATAATAATGTACATTTAAGCAACAATTTAATCCCGACCCTCTAAATAACACGAGAAGCTGAATAAATAATGAAATTAAATTAACAAAAAGCTTGTTTGGGGAAAAACATAATTGCTTACCAATTGAAAAATGATTTATGTACTATTAAGACAATAAATAACACGGTACATTCAAGCAACATTTCAATGCTGACCCTCTGAATAACATCAGCCTGAATAAATAATTAAATTAAATTAAGAAAAGCTTGTACTTATGTACTATTCAAAAAAATATGGTACATTCAAGCAAAAATTCTATGCCATTGCAATATCAAGAAAATAAAAGTGAAATGCAACCAACTCATCTACTATAAATAGACTTACTCTACTATCTGCATGAACTGTCAATCAAACTGTTATGACATTCATCTCAAACATCACTGCTTGCACACTTCTCTCTCTCTCTTCATCATATACCACGTGTTCATACCAAACAAATGAGCATACAGTAAGCTCAAGCAGATGTAATGCAATCCCTTCTATAGGTGACCAATGTTTACATAAAGGCAGATGAATGACCTACATGCGCATGCGCTAAGACTGCATTTAACAGACACATGATGAAACGTACATTAACGAATAGCGTGCCTTGAATATTATGGCCGAGATCATATTTTATTCTGACCTACTAACACTTGACAACATTCTGAACCCAACATGGCCCCCTTCAAAAACAAATCGCGTCAACCTAATCCGCAGCGATCCTGCGCCAACGCCCACGCTTAGCGGCTTTCTGATTGGCTGTATGCAAATATACAGCCCGCCTCCGCGTATATACGACAGAAAGGCTCGCTGTCGATCATGAGCAATTGCGCATAAACGCCCCGCCCCATAGCGCTCGGTTGAGTCAACAAGCAACAAACAATATTGCGGGCCTCCCCACGTTACGTAAACAGATGGAATGCAAAGCGTTATTCCCGCATAAAGTTAGCTCACAGACAAATTATGAACTCATCAAGTAGCTAAGTTAATGAGCATTATCCTACGATAAAAACGAGCAGTTCAAACGCATCTGAAATATATATTTCAAGATATTTAGGTGCACAAACAAAACATATTAAACTCATTTAGCATAGTTAAGAGTGTTCCAAAGCATTGCTGATATCAGGGAAACTATCGTGTTTCGATTTCACTTTGCATCGTGCAGATGGGGGGCGTGTACCCTTATAGACATGTCGGGTTGATCATCTATAAACACACAAGTCTACAAATCACCTATCAACTCGAGTGATCAATCAATTCACCATAGCCTAGCATTGCTTTTAATTCCATTTATCAGGCGTTTTCAACTTTTAAACAACTAATCTGTGTGTAATTGTGTCAATTCAATCAGTAGTATGTTTATTGTGATAATGTACGGCTTGACAGACTCATCCATGGAGATTCACAACACACACAAACACTCCAGCCTAACTAACCTCCAATAAATACACACTGATTTCACTATTGTGAAAGTGCAGTATCCAAATACGCATTAAGCACGTCTAATTTAGATGATCAGCACATCGATTCAGATTTTAATATGAGGTGTGGGTGTGTCAACTCAAATGTGAGCTGCATTGCTGGTGTCCTCCAGGACTAGACTCGGGGAGTAATGTTCTAGAAGTTCTTGTGTAACTGAAAGCTAACAAGCAACATCTTCTGCCCTTACTCAGCGCCAGCTAAGCAACCGCTGGGGGAAAATATTGATCTGAAAGGACAAACGGGCACCTCAGGATGACAGACCACACATATTATCCCACAACTAGTGAGGTAAACAAATGAAAACTGGTTAGAGTTTAAAAAGGAACTGGAGCGCTGCTTTCACACTATGGCCTCCGTGTCCCTCCCCTCTGCTAGCGAAACTTAGCCCGAGAGCTAGCTACAAGAAGCAATGTTTTGATCATCCTCAAACAACTGTCCACACACGCTTCACAGCGCTGTCATAGTCAAAAAGGTGACTCACCTTCAAGCTACCCACGCACTAGCGAAAATAGGTGGTAACTCCAATTTTACTCGTCTTTAGGAAAACTTAATGTCATTTCTTCTCAATCCACGCCGTCTTCCTCTCTGGTTTGTTTTGTTTATCTTCTTCCTGACGGGTTCCTGGAAAGCGCGTGACTGCCTCGTCACGTGCCTCTCCACTGGCCAATCACGGCGAGCGCTCTTTCATCAGAAAAACAAGTCATTTAAATATCTTTGTGCAGAGCTTTCATACACTACTTAACGGTGATTCTTATATTATATTATATTATATTATATTATATTATATTATATTATATTATATTATATTATATTATATTATATTATATTATATTATATTATATTATATTATATTATACATGGGCAGAAATTAAATTATTTTTTGTAATCTTTGATGTGCAGTTGTATGAATTTCTTTTGATAACGTTACTTTTTCTTGGATTTGGTTGTGAGGGAAAGACAGCCAGCAGCACAAGTGTTCTGAATAGATGGGAACTTCTCCAGGAATGTTGGAACAGCATCTCAGGATGTTCTTCAAGTAGTTTAAGTGAATGCCCAGAGAGGTTAGAGCTGGCATCTACATAGAGTCTGTCTGTCTACCTTTCTATCCTGCCTGTCTGTCTGTCTGTCTCTATCTATCTATCTATCTATCTATCTATCTATCTATCTATCTATCTATCTATCTATCTATCTATCTATCTATCTATCTATCTATCTATCTATCTATCTATCTATCTATCTGTCTATCTGTCTGTCTGCCTGTCTGTCTGTCTGTCTGTCTGTCTGTCTGTCTGTCTGTCTGTCTGTCTGTCTTTCTTGCCGGTTTATCTGTTTATCCTGTCTGTCTATCTGTATGTATGTATGTATGTATGTCTGTCTGTCTGTCTGTCTGTCTGTCTGTATGTATGTATGTATGTATGTCTGTCTGTCTATCTTGTCGGTTTATCTGTTTATCCTGTCTGTCTGTCTGTTTACCTATATATCCTGTCGGTTTATCTGTTTATCCTGTCTGTCTGTTTATCTATCTATCATGACTGTCTGTCTGTCTGTCTGTCTGTCTGTCTGTCTGTCTGTCTGTCTATCTATCTATCTATCTGTCTAGCTATCTGGTCGGTTTATCTGTTTATCCTGCCTGTCGTTTTATCTATCGATCAAGTCTGTCTGTCTATTTGTCCGTCCGTCTGTCTTTCCATCCATCCATCCATCCATCCATCCATCTATCTATCTATCTATCTATTTATCCATCTATCTATCTATCTATCTATCTATCTATCTATCTATCTATCTATCTATCTATCTATCTATCTATCTATCTATCTATCTATCTATCTATCTATCTATCTATCTATCTATCTATCCCATCTGTCTCTCTGTTTTGTCGGTTTATGAGTTCATTCAGTCTGTCTGTCTGTCTACCTTCCCTGTCTGACTATCTATCTTGTCAGTTTATCTGTTTATCCTGTCTGTCTGTCTGTCTGCTTATCTATCCATCCCGTCTGTCTGTCTGTCTGTCTGTCTTGTTTGTTTATCTGTTTATTCAGTCTGTCTTGTCTGTCTACCTATCCTGTCTGTCTATCTATCTTGTAGGTTTATATATTTATCCTGTCTGTCTGTCTGTCTTTCTGTCTATCTTGTCTGCCTGTCTATCTATCTTGTAGGTTTATCTATTTATCCTGTCTGTCTGACTGTCGTCCATCCATCAATCCATCCATCCATCCATCCATCTGTCTATCCTGTCTACCAACCTACCTGTCTGTCTGTCTGTCTGTCCTCTCTGTCCATCTATCCATCTCATCTATCCATATCTGTCTATCCTGTCTGTCTGTCTTTCTATCTAGCTTTGAAGTATTACAAAGGAAGTCATATGCAATGTCTTGAGAATGTTTTTGGTTCTTTTCTGGACTTTGAATATCTCAGGACTGTTGCTATCATCTATGGAGGATGAGAGAGCTCTTGGATCTTCATCTAAGGGTGCACTTGCAATCCGAACCTTGCTCCAGGTGTGTTTCCCGGGTTGTTTGACAAGTGTAAGTGGTCTGAATCGGGCTCAGGCGCTGTTCAGTTGGCCGGCCTTGGCCCAGTTGGAAAAGGTGAGTGTGGTAAGGTTGGGCTTTGGCGCTGTATGCTTGAAGCGTGAGTGCAAAGCGTGCCTGAGCCCGAAACTGAAGACGCAACTTCTCTATTAAGGGACTGTTTCATTTGGATTTTTAAATCATTCTTACTTTTTAATGAGCGCAAACTGTTGTAGTTTATTAAGATGCAAACCCCTTTATTAAAGACTTTTTTGATCATTTATAAGTGTCAAAAGTGGCTGATCTGTTCGGCGAGGTATTTAACTGCGTATCACCGCATCCCAAACGACCAAAACTATATAACTAAAGAAATCTCGGCTGTGCTGAGCGAGAGCGCTTCTCTTCCTCTTAAACTGAGCAGCTGCATCATTGATGACATGAGCATGCTCAGGCTCGGAAGGTAAAAGGAGTGTGAGTGCAGGCCGTCAGGGGAGAGGGGCGACAATCGTGCTTCAGCACAGTTTAAGGCAACTGTACGTAGTATGAGAACACCCTTAAACATTTATATTTGTGCGCAGAAGATGAACAAAGGTCTCAGGGGATTGGAACGAAATAAGGGGGAGGGATTAATAACAGAATTAAAATTTGTGGGTGACTAACCCTTTTAATCCTTACAATAAGACCCACTGAAAGGGCTATTATATGAAGCATTTTAACATTAAATTGTCAACACTATTTGTCTGCAGATATTCCATAAACCTAATACAATACAAGGCGAAAAAAAAAGGATATTATTCAGAATAATTTTCAGTAGCTTTAGTATATAATAAGTCTGATGTGTCCCAGTAGATTGAGTACAAGGTTGCATGAATTAGGGGAAGGGCTGGTTTGCTTGTGTTGGACCATGTGCAGGGCCTTGGGTCTGTCAGCAGGAATCTTCCCAAGGTCCCGGGCTGCATGCCAAGCCTTTTCAGTAAATAATACCGTCTATTACTGCGAAGAAGGATTCAACTAAACTTGAACTTACAAGAAGATAAAGACACTTTGTGTTGATTGAGTACTTCCTGTTAGCTTAATCTAGAAATGAGGCAGGTTGAGGCGCTTTATATTTAATATTCATAGTAAACTTAATAGTCATTAAGCAATGCAATTCCAAGCTGTATATAGTGTTCTAGTCTTTGCAAGATGGTATTGTACTGTTGTGTAAATGAGCTGTTGTGAATAGTCTCGGGTCTTTCCAAACAAGGGGATCAACCAGGCCAGCTGTGAAAGACCAGGAACAGTGATGTCAGAATAAACCCCAAAGCTCTTTATCACTTAAAAGAACTGCATTCTTTGGGGTTCGGAGTGAGTGAATGATTCGTCATGGTAACATATCGTACACAAACAAAAATGTAAGAACAAGAACAATGTGATGAGTGTTGGCTTTAATGCATAAACAAAAAGACTATTCTTCTCGGTGCTTTCATTCACAAAAAAAAGCGCATATTTCCTAATAAAACATTCATTCATTTTCTTTTCGGCTTAGACCCTTTATTAATCAGGGGTTGCCCCAGCGGGATGAACCGCCAACTTATCCAGCACATGTTTTACGCAGCAGATGCCCTTCCAGCTGCAACCCATCACTTCAGAACTGCCTTAATCCTTCGTGGCATAGATTCAACAAGTAATATTCCTCACATTATTTGGTCCATGTTGACATGATAGCATCACGCAGTTGCAGCAGATTTGTCGGCTGCACATTCGTGATGCGAATCTCCCGTTCCACCACATCTCAAAGGCGCTCTATTGGATTGAGGGTCTGGTATCTGTGGAGGCCATTTGAGTACAGTGAACTCACTGTCATGTTCAAGAAACCAGTCTGAGATGATTCACGCTTTATGACATGGCACGTTACCCTGCTGGAGGTAGCCATCAGAAGATGGGTACACTGTGGTCATAAAAGGATAGACATGGTCAGCAACAATACTGAGGAAGGCTGTGGCGTTGACACGATGCTCAACTAGTACTAATGGGCCCAAAGTGCACCAAGAAAATATCCCCCACACCATTATACCACCACCACCAGCCTGAACAGTTGATGCTTGCTCAATCCATGTTATTAATGCCAAATTCTGACCCTACCATCCGAAAGTCGCAGCAAAAATCGAGACTCATCAAACCAGGCAACGTTTTTCCAATCTTCGATTTCCAATTTTAGTGAGCCTGTGTGAATTGTAGCCTCAGTTTCCTGTTCTTAGCTGGCAGGAGTAGCACCATGTGTGGTCTTCTGCTGCTGTAGCCCATCTGCCTCAAGGTTGGACGTGTTGTGTGTTCAGAGATGCTCTTTTGCAAACCTCGGTTGTAACGAGTGGTTTTTTGACTTACTGTTGCCTTTCTGTCAGCTCAAACCAGTTTGGTCATTGTCCTCTGATCTCTGGCATCAGCAAGGCATTTGCGCCCACAGAACTGCTGCTCACTCCAAACTCTAGAGATGTTTGTGAGTGAAAATCCCAGTAGATCTGCATTTTCTAAAATACTCAGACCAGCCCATCTGGCACCAACAACCAACCCTTTAGATTACTCTATTTATTAGTATAAACTTAGATTAGTCTAAATGCAAAAAACAAGCAGCAGCTCAAAGGTGTTAAGTAAGAACGAACGATCCCAAAAGTAAAAGACAGACAGATAGATAGACACAACTACTGAAACAAACTTTTTTCAAAAATGTTTAGTTTCCCAAAGTGAATCGTTGTTAAGAGAATAACTTTTCTTGTATGAAGAACAACCTAAGAATCTTTTCCACTGTAAAGGACATTTAGTGGAATGTAAAATTGTGTGGAGTCTGCATCTATGGGCTCCGGTCCTAGCTTGGAGAGCTGAAATATTCGCTGAGATGAGGCAACTGTGCTTCATGCATCCATAGTTTAAGTCCCTGGCTTGCAGGTTTTGTTTCAAGTGATCATGTGATAACCAAAAATAGGTGTTTAATATATGTTAATATACAAACCAGTGAACTAACCATGATTTCACACTGCTTTTGTGCTTCCTTTTTCCAGTCCGGTTTCATTTTTGGTTTCTGGAACCAAACCATCCTTCACCAGACTCGATTCCTGGTCCAGTCCAGTC